GCTTGGCAAATCCACACCGTGATCAACTCCTGCCCAGAAACCAATGCCCCACTATGGAAGGACATGTGGATCCAGAATTGGCCTCCACAATCACTTACGGACTCACTGTTATAACCATGTTTACGGAAGACAATCTTACTCAGCTACGAATGATCACCAAAGAAGAAGAAGACGACTTCTGAATATATAGTTTTAGGAGTGCACTGGCAGGATGCACCCCAGTACATGTTTACTTGAGAGTAAACTCCACTAAACTCAGTGGGAATTACTTCTGAACAAAGTTTATATGTGTAGGCTCAGAGCTGTACTTTTTTAAGAAGCAGAGGCACAAAGAGATACAGTCTAACCTGATAACTGAGAGATGTGGTACTCAGCTGCTCCCAAGTAACCCTAGGGGAATATGGTATAAAGAAGCTGAAAAACAGAAAGTGGGTTTAAAAAAAAAAAAAACCTCTAAAGTTACAAGAAGTGCTTGTCACTGCTATTAAACTGCATTGGAAAGAATCAAAACTGTGCTTATTAGGAGACAGCCTGAGCACATCTAGTTCACTGGCTGATTCGGAGAAATACCTTTCAGCATTTTTAAAAGATGATTTGGAACAGACCATTATAGTACCCTTGGCCATGGGGTGTTTGAAATTCATATCTTGGAATGAAATAAAAATGAAATGCTTTCATAATGATTCCTGGAGGGAATGTTCAACCCTTTCATATATTCAAAGACAAAACATCTCAGCCATTTTATGAAACTGTCTTAAACATTTTAAGTAGTGAAAGCACAGCAAATAGAACCACATGTAATTTCTTTCTCTGCAGTCGATGTACCTTCTCGGGACAATAGACTGGTTCTCATGGTGGATCTAGCAAGATTTCAAAACCAGGCTATGATTCATCTGCTCCTTGAATCTGAAGCATGGCCTCTGATGATGATCTGAGGATGAATATATGGAAGAAGGTAACCCTTAAGGTAGACAGATGCCAAGCCTTTGGGAGCTTTAAAGGTTAACACCTTAAATGAACTGGCAGCCAAAGCAGGTTATTATGAGAGCCCTGGAGTTTGGGTTTCTGCAAAATTCCACAAACAATATGGCTTCTCGTAACAGACTCCAAAACCCATCCTTTCATATTGGTGGGGAAGATATCTAAGGTTTAGCAGAGTCTGTATCAGCTCCAAAAAAAATCTGTCCCACACTCATATTGAGCCTAAATAAACATGAGAATTAACATGCTACTGTAGGTTAGTGATATTCTTCACCTACCATAGACCCCAAGAGTGGCAGGGAAGCTAATGTTCCTGAGCCCCAGGACTGGATAAGGTTGAGGAGGCTTTTTGAGAAATATAATCCTTCCTATGTTTCTAGAAATTGCTCAGTTGGGAAGGACATTTGAGAGGGAAATGATGGCTGCATTTCTCCAACATCTTATGAAGATAAATAAAGTTGCTCCCTCCTGAATCTATGTACTTTGAAACACTGGATGAGGATGATTCAGACTTAAAGAGATTTGGTTGGTACTTCTTTTTTGCTTTTAATCAGTTGTTTAGTGAGGAGAACGGTTACTAGTAAAATCTATAATTTAAAGTCTTTCTGTTTGTTAGGATGTCAGTTACTATTTGAAGAAATATTACTACTGCTTTCTTTTGTAAGCCATAAAAGCTTGTGGAATATTAGCAAAGCAAACAGCTGCAATTTACGGGCTATAATCAAATCTATCTTGCATTGCCTTTAAACATCCTGTTCTGCTGACCACACCAGGGGTTTCCAAGCACAGTTTAGCCAAGAGGGCCGTGTGGACATTTCTCAGAGCCTGGTAGCTTTGCCTGTGGCTGAACTAAACAACCTCACTAATTTCAAAACCATGATATGATTCATCATTGACATGGAGTGACCCCCAGTTCTAAGCAGAAATTCTAAGCATTTTCAGAATTATACTTCCCCATAATATGTACCGGATCTGTAGTTCTGTGCAGTGAATAAAGTTGAAATGTATCTAAGGCTTTGAGAGAAGTTCGGGTTTTATCAAAATTTGCTTCATACTATCTTTAGATATATCTCACAATAAGATCGTATGATGTTGTGATAAGATAAATACTAAAATGAATGACACAATACCTTTATTTGATTTTGTTCAGGTGATAATAACTGGTTCATTTTAAGTTTGTTTTTAGATAGTCACTGAATATTTTTACGTCCAAGTGCCCATTCATTTTATTGCTATGATTGTGTGGAGATGGTTTTTGGTTTCTTCCCTTTTCCCCAGTGTTTTATCAGTGTGCGCATGTACAATACATACACTCATATGCCCAGAATCATGGGGGATTCCTTATGGACCAGGTCCACTTTGGAAATGGCACCATGTAATTCACAACTCATATAATCTGCAACTCCAAAATCTAGGAATACATTCTGATGGGAAGAGTACTCCAAGGTTCTCCAATAAGGCTGCAGCAGCAGATTTAGGGGAGTGTGACCGGTTCAGTTGAACTGAGCCCAGAGTCTTGGGGGCACTGCGCCTATCATGTAGAATGGAAGGCGAGAGGTGGGGGCACCAGATTTTGGTGTCATACATGGCGCCACTGAAATTTGAGAGCCCAAGGATGCTGAAGATTCCGGGCAGACAAGAGGAGGTACTGTTAGGATATTTCCGTTCCACCTTAAAAGGGAGCAGACTTTGTGAGTCAGAGTCTGCGTATTTCCTGTTTTCACAGGATGTTTATGTTTTCTGTTGCTTTCGTTTCTCTCTGTGTGTCGTAGACACTAAAGCAGGCAGCCATGTTTTTCTGTGTTCTGATCAACGCTGAATAAACTTGTAAATAATGCTCTCCTGAGTGCGACTTTGGCTGTGCATTATCTGCTGATAGAGTGTGCATGAGCTCTGGAATGTGGCAAGCTATTTCTAGAAACTCATGTCACTAATTGCTGATACTGCGTGACTACGGGAGATCGATGGATCGTCCGGCAGCCGGCTTGGGGGCCATGATGGACTTTATCTCCCTGGCAGTATCCCAACAGGTACACCTTCACACAACACAGAGGTTACATTCAGACCATCCAATACCACTTAAAACAGACATGGCTTCTTATGTTCTTATCACTCATTATCATCTCTTATACATTTATAGCAAACTCTTCAGAAGAGGAAAAGAACGGTCTTGCAGTACCTGGTGGCTCTTGTGAGTGGCATGGCTGTTGGAAAATCTGATTTTTAGAAGATAATTGAAACTCTCCACTGAATCCTCTTAAAAATGTGTGTGCCAGAGAGGATGTTCTAACAATGGAAGCTGCTATTCAGTATGCAGATGGAAAATGCACCATATATAGTGTAATAAGATTTTGAGAACCCTGTTAAGAGCAGGTGTTTAAGTCAGATCCCTGAAATCTTATGAGTAACCCATTTCCTGTCCTCTGGCCAGGCTACTAAATGAGGCATGCTCTGTAATTACTGAATTATCCCTTTCCAGCAAGGAAAGTGAAGCCTCAGTGCGAGGCTTTTGTTATTTTACATTCGCCCCCATTAGCGTTACTAGGTGTACCTAATAGGCTGATAAATGGCGTATTGCTGCTGTCAGTGACTAAATGGCACTTAATGTTCCATTTTGAAGTTCAGGAAATCAGAAGTAGGTGGAGAGGCATTTGATGGCCATTTGTTCAGTGACACAGACTTATAATCAAGGAAATTGATGTTGAAGGTTCAGTTACATGAGAGATCTTATCGCAAAAAGTGTGGCTATAAAATTGGGCAGTGTATGCAATAGCTTCGGGAGTAATAACCCTTAACCTTCTTATCACTAGTACTAAAAATAAAGCATCTTACTGGGGTTTTTTTTAAAAAAAAACTTTTAATAAGTAAAGGCTTGTTGGCAGAGTAGATCTTCTTCCCCGAAATGCAATACCGTTTAAGGGCTTTTAGACATAAATTGGTAGATTGTAATAGACTGTAGAAGTTTACATTTTTATCTATATGGATGCTTTGCCCTTCCATTTTTAAAATGCCTCTAAATACATGGAGTGGGCTGATTATGCTGATAGCGCGTGGCTGGAAAACAAAACTATCATATGCATTCTACAGTCAAAATCTTTCCCTTTACTTACTCAGGTGTACTTCCCAATAGAGTAAAATCCCAACTCTGTGCATTAGGTTGCACTGCTAGGCTTTCCACAGAGGGTGGCCCAAATCCGAGCCTTCCATGGATCGTGTTACAAACTTGTCATTTTGGAAAAGTTTTGGACCTTGAGAGATCAGTCAGGCTTACTTCCCCTAAAATGTATGGGATTCTCAGACTGCAATCCAATGCTCACTTACCTAAGAGTAAGCTTTATTCAACTCAATGGAATTTACTTCTTAGTAGAGAGAGTTGTGTTGTTAATCTATTAAATCTGCAAGCAACATTGTCCCCTCCACTGACTGAAGGCATCTCTCAGAGGCAGGGCCGGATTTAGGTTTGATGAGGCCCTAAGCTACCGAAGGTAAACGGCCCTTTATATGTCCTGCTGTCCTTTGTCAACAACAAATTGTCACTGTTTTTTGGGTTGAATATATGCTTTATGGTAATTTATGGACCTAATAGGTATCTAAAGCCATTTGTACATAACAAAATACATATTTTATTAAAGTAATTGTTGAACTGAATACAATTAAGAAGAAGTATCCAGGTTTTTTTCCTTTACATTTTTTGGGGGGCCCAAGAGAGTGGGGCCCCAAGCTATAGCTTGTTTAGCTTATACGTAAATCTGGCACTGCTCAGAGGGAATGTTGACAGAGGCAATTTCCAGCTATTCTTTCTCCCCTCTAAATTAAAGCAAGTTTATCCCCAATCCCAAATGGTAGAGCATGTGCTCTGCATACAAAAGGTCTCAGATTTAGTCCCTGGTGTCTTCAGGTAGGACTGGGTAGTGGTATCTTGTAGTAGGCATTGAAGCCCTGCAGAACCACTGCCAGTCACAGTAGACAGTGCTATGCTAGATGGAAGGCAGCTTCTTCCATCTCTATCTAATCCTGAGGGATAGCCCAGTGGGAGGTCACGAGACTCTTAATCTCAGGGCTGTGGGTTCGAACCCCAGGTTGAGCAAAAGATTCCTGCATTGCAGGAGGTTGGACTAGATGATCCCCGTGGACCCTTCCAATTCTAAAGTTCTATGATTCTAATCCTGGAGTTAGTGGTTATCGGTGTTCGCTTGCCTGGTCCTTCCCTACATCTTCTGTATGGTACTTAAAAATAGATTAGGTTTAAGCACATCATGTTACACAAGATATTCTCATCCATCTCAATGCACATTCCCGTGGTGAGTGAACTTGCATTTAATTACCACATCAGGGTTACTTTTTAGGATGTTCCCTTCATGCAATTTCACTGTTTCTCTAGCAGTAATGGAGTACAGCACTCCCAAATTCCTACAATCTGCTGAAAACTTCAATCATGTTTAACTGTCAGATTAGAAACTGTCTCCAGGTGTTCTGCTAATGAGTATCCTGGCTCTAGCACAGGACCAATCACCAGTATCTTGACTTTAAGCCTTGTACACTTCGGGATTTTAGACTCAGACCTGTCGCTCCTATAATTATCCGGAAAGGCCACATCAGTTAAAAGGAGACCCAGCTGAGCTCATTTGGAACAAAAACCGAAATACACGCTTAGGCCTTTTTCAATTGTTCATATAAAGGAAGAAAGTGATACCATTTCTTACTACTCGTCAGTCATATGCCACGTTCCCCCCCTGTGTAAATGCATAGCTATCTTTTCTGTACTCATATTTCCATTAGTACTACTACTACTGTAGGTGGCATTTTATAAAGTAGCATCATCGAAAGGCAATCTGAATTTAGATGGGTGGAAAGATGAAGATAGTGATTTATTAATGCATATGCCACTTAATTGCTGTAAGTGGTTTACAAGTATAAAATCAATTCCCAAAAAAATAAACACGCTTAATTAAACGGCAAAATAAAACAATTTTGTCAAAGCATTACGGTAAATAAAAATATGGGGTGAGAGAGAATTGCAAGAAACATGAAAGATAGCAAATGTAATCACATATACTTGGCTTAGATTGCCTAATTTAATTGAGAGAGAGAGAGAGAGAGAGAGAGAGTGAGAGAGTTACTCTAAAGAGTGGTATAGAGACAATTAGTACTTTCACCGTTTATCTATCACTTAATGTACAAGCTATTTATTCAGATTACAAATATTGAAATCATAAAAACATGAAGCTAATATACCAAGTACAATAAAATACTAAATCATAACACTGAGCAGCATAATCTAAAAGAATAAGAAAAAAGTCTGAATAAACAATTTTTTAGAAGTAACTTGAAACATGCCACAGCAGATACCTCCTGAATGGTATGAAGGAGGATATTCCACTGGGCGAGTCACTTTCTCATCAGTCTAACTCAACTCACCTAATTGTATTGGGGATAACATGGAGAGGGGGAAGAACCATTTATACTGAGCCCAGCTTCGGCTGGGGAGGGCGGGATATAAATAAATTATTATTATTATTATTATTATTATTATTATTATTATTATACCAGTTTGAGCTCCTCAGAGAAAAGGTAGGCTATAAATGTATACATACACATCATGTATACACTTACAGAAGGTTCAGATTTTTCTTTGATGTATGTTTTGGTTCACTTCATGGCCTGGGTGCTTAGTACCTACAAGGAGTCACAACTTGACCATGGCCTTGTAGTGGAAGGGAGGGATTTACCTTCTTCTTGAGTTAGAATCCCATCCTTTGGGTTTCGTTTCATTGGTGACGAAGAACAGAATATTTAAGCCAAAAGGTTAATAGCAAAGATGGGGCTTGGAACCAAAGAGTACCTGCAAAGAACTGGTCAATCTCTGTTTTTCTCATTTTTCTGGTCTTAGAAAAAGACTGCACAACAATTTGAGATTTATTTATATGTTTTTTAAATAAGTCCTTACGGAAAAGTATTCAGCAGTTTACTGCAAATTTCTCCTAATGCACTCAAGTTTGTGTGCAGTTTTGAATCATAGAATCATAGAATCATAGAGTTGGAAGAGACCACAAGGGCCATCAAGTCCAACCCCCTGCCAAGCAGGAAACACCATCAGAGCACTCCTGACATATGGTTGTCAAGCCTCTGCTTAAAGACCTCCAAAGAAGGAGACTCCACCACACTCCTTGGCAGCAAATTCCACTGTCGAACAGCTCTTACTGTCAGGAAGTTCTTCCTAATGTTTAGGTGGAATCTTCTTTCTTGTAGTTTGGATCCATTGCTCCGTGTCCGCTTCTCTGGAGCAGCAGAAAACAACCTTTCTCCCTCCTCTGTGTGACATCCTTTTATATATTTGAACATGGCTATCATATCACCCCTTAACCTCCTCTTCTCCAGGCTAAACATGCCCAGCTCCCTTAGCCGTTCCTCATAAGGCATCGTTTCCAGGCCTTTGACCATTTTGGTTGCCCTCCTCTGGACACGTTCCAGTTTGTCAGTGTCCTTCTTGAACTGTGGTGCCCAGAACTGGACACAGTACTCCAGGTGAGGTCTGACCAGAGCAGAATACAGTGGCACTATTACTTCCCTTGATCTAGATGCTATACTCCTATTGATGCAGCCCAGAATTGCATTGGCTTTTTAGCTGCCGCATCACACTGTTGGCTCATTTCAAGTTTGTGGTCAACCAAGACTCCTAGATCCTTTTCACATGTACTGCTCTCAAGCCAGGTGTCACCCATCTTGTATTTGTGCCTCTCATTTTTTTTGCCCAAGTGCAATACTTTACATTTCTCCCTGTTAAAATTCATCTTGTTTGTTTTGGCCCAGTTCTCTAATCTGTCAAGGTCGTTTTGAAGTGTGATCCTGTCCTCTGGGGTGTTAGCCACCCTCCCAGTTTGGTGTCATCTGCAAATTTGATCAGGATGCCCTTGAGTCCATCATCCAAGTCGTTGATAAAGATGTTGAATAAGACCGGGCCCGAGACAGAACCCTGGGGCACCCCACTAGTCACTCTTCTCCAGGATGAAGAGGAACCATTGATGAGCACCCTTTGGGTTCGGTCAGTCAGCCAGTTACAAATCCACTGAGTGGTAGCATAGTCAAGACCGCATTTTACCAGCTTCTTTACAAGAATATCATGGGGCACCTTGTCAAATGCCTTGCTGAAATCAAGGTAGGCTACATCCACTGCGTTCCCTTCATCCACCAGGCTTGTAATTCTGTCAAAAACGAGATCAGGTTAGTCTGACATGACTTATTTTTCAGAAATCCATGCTGACTATTGGTGATCACAGCATTCCTTTCTAGGTGCTCACAGACTGTTTGCTTAATGATCTGCTCCAGAATCTTCCCTGGTATTGATGTCAGACTGACTGGGCGGTAATTATTTGGGTCCTCTCTTTTCCCCTTTTTGAAAATAGGGACAAAATTTGCCCTCCTCCAGTCTGCCGAGACTTCGCCTGTTCTCCAGGAATTCTCAAAGATGACTGCCAGTGGTTCTGAGATCACATCTGCCAGTTCTTTTAATACTCTTGGATGCAGTTCATCTGGCCCTGGAGACTTGAATACATCTAAAGTAGCCAAGTATTCTTGTACTATCTCCTTAGTTATGCTGGGCTATGTTTCCTCTGCTGAATCATTTGCTCCAAATTCTTCAGGTCGGGCATTGTTTTCTTTATCGGAGAAGACTGAGGCAAAGAAGGCATTGAGGAGTTCAGCTCTTTCTGTGTCCCCTGTTTGCATTTCACCATCTTCTCCTCTGAGTGACCCCACTGTTTCTTTGTTCTTCCTTTTGCTACTGAACATACCCATAAAAGCCTTTTTTGTTGCTTTTAACCTCTCTAGCAAGCCTGAGTTCATTCTGTGCTTTAGCTTTTCTGACTTTGTGTCTACACATGCTGGCTATTTGTTTGAATTCCTCTTTGGTGGTTTCCCCCTTTTCCATTTTTGTACACATCCTTTTTTAATCTTAACTCAGTTAAAAGTTCTTTAGATAGCCACCCTGGCTTCTTTAGGCACCTTCCATGTTTCCATCTCATTGGTATTGCCTGACGTTGTGCTTTTACTATCTCCCTCTTAACAAACTCCCACTATCCCACTTTTACTATCTCCCTCTTAACAAACTCTTTTGCCCAATATACACATTTTTTGCAGCTCCCTTTTCTTAACATAAGGCATCCTTCTATGTTACTTTTATTATTGTATGCATTCTAATACACACACTGCCTGAGCACATGCATTTTTGTACACATTACTTGGCTGGATAACTGCATTGCAAAATTCAGACAAGTGCAGCTTTTGAAGGATGGTTGTGACTCGGATTTGGAAAGTGATAATTAAGTAGGTTTGCTTTAAATGTGAACTGAGAGACAATTTCTCCCCCATCCTTAGATGCAGTACAAAAATCCAAGTGGGTTGTGTAAAATGAGACTTACTATACATCATACGACTGCACTTAAAAAATCAGGAAACCACTTGAACCCACAAGGAAAAAACCCAATCCCACCATCTGGCAACCAAACTCTGGATTTAGAATTGCACTGCTAGCCTCCTTGCCCTGTCTGCAAGGCTCCCCTTCCCTCTGCTTTGCTCTCCTAACTCCTGCTCTCCTCCCATATTTCTCTCCTTCGCCTCACGCTCGCCAGTCTCGTCTCATCACTGTTCCGGCGTGAGCCTTCTCCTGTGCAGGTCTGGCCATCTGGAACATCTTTCCCATAGCTGTGCCTCATTGACTCTCCATCTCATTTCAAATCTCAACTGAACATTCATCTTTTCTACTTTGCCAATTCCTCTTAATTTCTCCCTCCATCTGTTTGCATTATTCAGCAACGTAAATGCTTTCTCAATTACAAATTGTGTGATACAAGTCGAGAAGAAAATAGAGACATATCGGCTTTTAGATGCTGGGGTTGTACTTGTTATTGTTTCCGTTTGATTTTTTTTTAAAAAAAAAAATAAAGCCCAGAGACTTTTCTAGGATCAGGTATGTCGGTTGTTGGCATTGGCTGAAAAAGTGCCACTCTCTTTTAAACAGTCCTCAGGAGGCAGCCTATCAAAAAGCTTAGAGATTTGGCCACCAAAAGAACAGTGCACATACCTTGCAAG